TTTCCTAAAATGAATGTATTCTTGTTTAAATCTCCACCTTTATACACATGCACACATCTCCATACGTGATCGTTGTTCTCGTTCCTTAGACTAAATTGTCCGAACTCCCAAACTAGTATATATATATATATATATAAATACCATAAAATATTTTCATCCATTTTATAGTTTTGAAGATAATTAATAAGGGTAAGAAAGTCTTTTTGCAAAATAATTCATCATCATCTAAACTAGGCAGGTACCTAGAATCACGTCAACCTAGTATTTATTTAAAATCAATTCCATTCCTCAATCAGAATCATCCGTTATCACTCCTACCTTCTGGTAGACTAAATCTATAAGAAACCAGAGATATCAAACGGGACCGAAGGGAAGGTTACAAGGAACGAGCCTCATTCTTGCTTTATGTATCATAATGTGGTACATTATATAGGACACTATGAATATTGTTGTTCAATTATAAATCAATTTTGATGCATAGGGTGATAGATTTTGGGCTTCCTTATGCATCCTAATGTTTCACAGGTTTATTTATGGGCTTCCTTAATTAAATATATATTTCAACTAAGTCGGTAATTTATTATTTCTTATTTTTTCTAACTAGGTTTATAATATAAAATTGTTATTTTGAATGTTGGTATGCAATATTTTGGATGTCAAGTCAAAATACACTTACTCGATATGTTTTAGATATTACTCACTATGGTTTTAGATATTATCGATATGTTTTGGTACATGTGACGTTAAGTTTTTTTTTTATTAAATTGAATTCTTTTGGTTTTAGGTTATTATGTTGTGATTTTTTTTGTATTAAATTAATTTCTTTTTGATTTTTATGTTTATTTGGAAATTTGTGAAATTTAAACATATGTGACGTCTCACATATTTGATTTACATAGCTTATGTAAACAGGGAAAATCATCGTTTCCACGTTAGCGATGAGAATGTAATCATAGTCGCTGCCGGGGATGGGAACAAGGATGGGGACATAGATGAGGGATCGAGGATGGGGATAAAGATTGAGGTCACTGCTCCATTCTCATGCCTACTTTGCTAAAGAAGTGACACAAAAAAGAATCAAATTGCGAAATCTTGCCTTGTGATTGAGATGGTTGATTTACATGTATCATAGCCATAAAACTTTATGATGGTTCGAAACTTCCGTAAAAGTTGCAGTTTATTAAGTTATATCAGTGGCCCTCAAACAGGGAGATAATGGTCGAGGTCGATGGACTATATATGTTGCGAGCTCATGGGAGAGAGCATAGAAGAGGGAAAGTCGAATAATGGATTTAGGGTTTGGAATGAGATTGATTTGGGTTTGTAGGGGGGCTGGGGGAGGGTAGGGTCGTATTTATATATACTTCTTCAAAACATGGGTACGGACCGATGAGCCCTTAATCATCATACATGCATGCAATGTCCTGACTATATCAAAATTTTCCTTCCTATCCTGTAATAGAAACATAAATTTCATTAAGGAGACATATTTTCATGATCTTGCATTGTCAAACCTGATTAAATTCCATTTAAGTTCCTTCAAATTTGAATTCATTTGACGTATTCCGATTCCTTTGACCTATTCTAATTCCAATAAATTATATTCTAAGCGCAACTTAAACTTTTAGAAGTTAATTATTTAAGTTAGAGTTTTTCTAAAATTTATTTAAATTGACTATGATATTTATTAAATTTAGATCGCTTATTCATTCGTGTTGTGGGTAATGGGGAGGAAACAAAATTTTGGATTGACAAATGGGCTGGTAACAATACTCTTAATAGTATGTTCCCTGACTTGTTTATTTTTTGAAAGAAATAGATCATGCTTCATTGTTGATCGATATACTCCAAATAGTAGCGACGGGAGGTTATGGATTTGGTCTTGGTTGGAGAGTCCAATCGTTGATAGCAGACATTCAGATAGAGTTACCGAATTACAAAATTTGGTAAGGAATTATGAGTTCTCTAATGGTAGGGATAAATGGATATGGGTGGGGGATAGTACTGGGATCTTCACTGTCAAATCCATGAGAGCGATTTTGGATGAGAAACTTAATGGTAATGTTGTGGGGCAATCAATATGGTGCAAATGGCTTCCGATAAAAATAAATTGCTTCTTATGGAGGCTTTTTCTGAGGAGAATTCCTACAAGACAGAATCTTGGTTCTAGAGGTATACAATTGCAAACTGATTCTTGCCCGCTTTGTGGAAGAGAAGTGGAAACGGAAGAACATCTTTTTTACGTTTGTTGAAAAATCAAAAGAGATATGTAGATGGGTCGAGAGATGGTGTGATATAAACTCTGGCAATCATTCTTCCCTTGATCAGATGGTGGTCAATCTGATTGAATGTGCCAAATCGAAGAAACAAAGAAAAATGATCGAGGCACTTATTGGGAGCATTCTTTTGTTTACATGGAAGGCAAGAAATGATGTGATCTTCAATAACAAAAGGTTCTCGAGGGAAGCAGTGATGGTGGATTCTCAAGCTATGCTTTTTACTTGGATTAAATTTAGATCTAAATGTAATATTGATTGGTCTAGATGGGGTTGTAATCCGTTAGCTTTGTTTTGCCTCTTTTGTATCTTTTCTAGCGCCTTGCTAGTTTTAATATAGCTTTTTTAGGGTGTTTGGGAAGGGGTAATGGCCATACCGAAGCTCTTTTCCTAACGCTCTTTCTTTTTGCCGTTCAAAATTTTTTTTATTAAATTTAATATCCTATTTCAAATAAATTTTATATGAAAATTATAAAATATTCAACTTCATTAGTGTGAATACTAAAAAAAATTAAATCATTTCCAACCCAACCCAATCACTAAAAAGATTAAAAAGTTAAAAATCGGATAAATCCATTGAACACCAAAAACATCAAATTTTTTTATTAACCTGGATATCCAACCCGCTATGTGAGTTGACTAATCCCAAGACGATTACCTACTTTGTAGATAGCCCGCTCGGAGTCACCGCATTTAAACTTCCGTGGCCACAAGAGAATTTTTATTCCTCTTTGGATACTAATTAAAAAACATCAACTTTAGTGTATATAAAAAACATCTTATTACTATAATAACAACAAAATAACATATCTAATTAGTATTATTAAAGTATAGTAATTACAAGATGTAATTATCTTTTTTTTTTTTTTTACATTTATGAAATTTTTTTTCTAAAAATATTTCCGGCGGATTTATTTTTTAATTTTTTTACATTTATGAAATATTATTACTTGATATCTATACTATATTATAAAACATTTGATAAAAACTTTTAAAAACCATTTTTTATGCATGAAGTATTGTTTATTGATGAATATTACTTAGAATTCAAGATTACAAGTAATTGTGCGTAAGTACAACTTGATAAAGTTTCATTTTTGAATTCGTGTAACCACATGCAGATAAACATAATCAAATAAAATTATACTAAATTATTAAGCATTTGACAAAAACTCTTAAAAACCAATTTTTATGCATGAAGTATTGTTTTATTGATGCATATTATTTAAAATTAAAGATTACAAGAAAAATTGTGCGTAAGTATAAATTGTTAAAGCTTCATGTTTGAATTCGTGTATCTAATTGCAGATAAACATAATCAAATAAAGAATTAATCTCATTTTAAGTATAAAAAATTTAAAATATAATTAGGATCATCTAAAATTATATTATTAAACTAAAAATAATTTATACTATATTATAAAACATTTGATAAAAACTCTTAAAAACATTTTTTTATGCATGAAGTATTGTTTTTTTAATTTTTTATGATATATTCATATTTATATTTTATTCAAAAAATAAAAACATTATCGCTTTATCAAAACCACATAAAATCATATTATAATATTGACTGAGACAAAAAAAAATGAAATATTAAAATCGAGATATATCTCGTTGCATTGTGCGAACATCATTCTGATTTAAAATAATTTATCTAATGAAATATTCTTAAAATTGAAGTGATAATGCTTTTAATTGGTAATTATTACATTGAAATTTTCAAATGTTATAAATAATTATTACATTGAAATTTTCAAATGTTATAAATGTATGTTTAAGTTCCATTGACCAAAGTGTTATATATGTTTATACAGATTACAACAAAATTATTTAATTATATAGACCAAAATAATTAAAAACTATTCACATATTTGTTTATGTAGTTTATTATTTTTTTAATAAACATTTAAATTATTTAATTGTAATTTATAAATAAATTACCAAATTAATACAAAATACTAATTAACATAATAGATCTTAATCAACATATGATAATTATTAAAATCAAAATAATAATGATTTTAAAAAATAGAGATCAACATTTTGATTCCAAGTACATGCACCAAATTGATGATTTTTATTTGAGTAATCTATGGTAGTTTGAGAAAGATTTTGATTTTTATCTTTCTGGCTTTGAAATTTCGATTTACGTTCATGTGGTTTATAATTGCTTTTGTCCCTAAAACTGAATACGTTAAAAACTCCTTCATTTACTTAAGGTATTTTGGTCTTTTTGATTTATCCGTCGCTAAAGGATCCTGTTGTTAATAGCTTTCTCTCATAAATCCGTCGCTGTTAACTAACCGTTGCTAAAAGTTGTCCATCATTGATTGGTTGCTAATTACATTACCCACGACCTTTTGACACACAGACTATCGGCAAGAGGTCCCATCTTTTTAGACTATCGGCAAGAGGTCCCATCTTTTTAGTGACAGATTTTTCATGGTCCTCAATATATTTTTTGGTTTTTTTATTTTTGATTCAGTAGAACATTAATAATGGATGCTTGTGTCACTTCTGCAATCATATGTGGCAAAGACAAGAAAGAGAGAAATGGGATCTGCAAATTTTTATTAGTAAAGTAATTTGTGGATGATATCCAATGAAGGCTACGATGACGTAAGCAATGACATCAAACAAGTAAGCAATGACATCAAACAACCCAATATTCACCCACTCTGCAAGTATATATGCACACACAGACTTCATACCTTCATATTCGTCGTTGCAAAATCTACACAAATCCAGTCTTAACTTTTCATTTAGTTCTTGTAATGGCAAGTTCTAATGATTTAGTACTGCTAAACTTCTGGGCCAGCCCCTTTGGTGAAAGGGTCAAAATCGCTCTGGCTGAAAAGGGTGTCCATTACGACTACAAAGAAGAAAACTTGGCCGACAAAAGCCCACTGCTTCTTCAGATGAACCCGGTTCACAAGAAAGTCCCGGTTCTCATCCACCATGACAAACCTATCTTTGAATCTAACATCATTGTTCAGTATATCGATGAGACATGGCAGAACGAGGATCCGCCATTGTTGCCTTCCGATCCTTATCTCAAAGCTCAAGCCAGGTTCTGGGCTGACTATGTTGACAATAACGTTCGTTTTTCAGCTATATGGAGAACAAAAGGAGAAGAGCAAGAAAGAGCGAAGAAAGAATTCATAGATCTGTTGAAGGTGTTGGAAGAGCAGCTTGGAGAGAAGCCATATTTGATAGGGGAGAGTTTTGGGTATGCAGATATCGCACTGATCCCGTTAAGCTGCAGGTTTTATGCACTGGAGATTATTGGGAAGATGAATATAGAGAAAGAATGTCCTAAGCTGATGGAATGGGTTAAAAGATGCATGGAAAGGGAGAGCGTCTCCAAGTCTCTTCCTGATCCCCACAAGATTTATGAGTATGTGTTGGAGAGAATGAAGAAACTTGGCAACTAGTTATTAGACCATCTCCAATCGTCCACCAAAATGTTGTTTCACCGTCTGAATACCTCCAACCATGCGGCAAACTGTAAAATAAAATGTCGCCCATCAATCGGCTTAGGTCTTTTTAGGTCTCATTGGTGTAATGTTAAATAAATAATGTCTTTCACAATCATATGGCCTTCTGTTTTGTTCTACGTTGTATTATACATGGAAATTTTGAGAATAAATATGTGATAGAATATAGGATATATATATATATATATCTATATATATATATATATATATATATTGATAGAGACAGATTCGATATAGTAAATCTCCAAGAAGATAAGAGCAGCGAAGAGAGATTTTTGAAAGAATTTTCTCATTATCATTTGCTAACAAGGAGTTACAATATTAATAAAGTAATCAACTACAACTAGAGTTAGTGGGTGCACTAAAGCCACTCTGTCATCCTAACCTATGGATAAGGAACCATGAACCATGGGTACACATAAAACTTCCTAAGCAAGAAAATTAATTAAAAGAACATTCTTTTTTATTTATTCAAAACAGTAAATGAGTCCGGGTTCGTATCAATGCCCACCACTCAAACAAAAGCGTTGTTCTCAAGGCTAGTAGCTTGAACGTCGGGGTCTGATTCGAAGGGGATGAAAGTGTGGATCTCCTATGTGTCCTCAAGAAGAAGGAATTGAGGTGGATTGCAAAGGTGTCCTGGGTGATACTTTTTAGAACAACGAAACCGAAGACCTTTGGAGTGGCGAGCTTGGACTTCTTCAATGTCGACCGACGAAGAGGAAGGATGGTTGGTGTTTGTTGGTTGTGGTGGTGTAAGGAGGACCGCCGGGGTGGTCGATGGAGATGGTGGTGGAGGGGACGAGGAGGGCGAGAATAGGGCGGTTTGGGGGCTAGTGGAGTCATCAGAAAAATTGGTGGCCAATTTATCCTCGATTACTTTAGCCAACACATAGGTCGTGTGAATGGAGGAAGGGTGGTGGACAGAGAGTTCTTGTTGAATGTCAGAGTGGAGACCCGAGATAAAGCAATTGAGGAAGGCATCTTGGGAGAGGCCGACCACGCAATTGCTAATACGCTCAAACTCAGTTTGGTAAGCGGAGACATAACTGATTTTGTGGAGCTTGAAAAGAGAAGCCTGATGGTTTTCGGAAGAGGAAGTATTTATACCAAGTGCACGGGTGAAAGATGCCCAATCTGTGAGAAGGTGGTTGTTATGGAAGTATTTATACCAACTTAAAGTGTCGCCTTTGAGGTGAAAGGAAACAAGAGTGATATGTTGTTTAGGGTGAATCTGATAAAATTTAAAGCATTGATCGGCTTGAAATAGCCAATCCAAAGGTGCAAAATCGTCAAAAAATGGCAACAGGATTTTGGGGAAATTGATGAGAGTGTGAGGGGAAAGTGGTGGAGTAGGATTAGCAGTAGGATCAGGTTCAAACTTGGCGACAACGACGACGAGGTTGGCGGTCGTTGCAGTGTTGGTGGCTATTTGTTTAGTCAGGTTCTCAAGTTAAGTGGCGATGGAGGTAGAAGCAACAAGGATTTTGGCAAGGTTATCGGCCTTGGCAGCCACTGGTTCCTCCTTGGATGGGGGATCACGTTTGGAAGGCATGGTGATCATTGAAAGCACCAAATGACAGAGACCGATTCGAGATGATCGATCTCCAAGAAGACAAGAGTAGCAAAAAGAGATTGTTGAGGATAGCCAATGCTCCTCTTCTTCCTTCTTCTTCTTCTTCTTTTTCAGTAGCTACAACTGTGGCAAACCCCCATCAATCTATCCCATCTACTACCTCCTTATCCTCTCGAAAGAGGACACAATCCGAAGCCACTTTTAATCCCTCAAAGAGGGTTAAGAAAGCCACAAAGGGGAAGCCATATAAGCTAGTTAAGACCTCTCAACATGTCTCAACTATTGAACTTCAACTTACCCCCGAGGCATCTGTTGTTACCCTCCATTCCTCTTCAAGAATATCTTCAGTTCTTGTCGTATGTGTGGCTTCTACCCCAACCACTTCAGTGACTCAAGTCACTAAATGTGTGATTCCCAGCATACACATTGTTGATCCTCCACTTCTCTTATCAACCGTTATCTCCTCCCCTTCTTCTTTGGTCTCTATCACACTTGTTGATGATCCCATGGTGGTCGTCCCCGCTATTGATGAAGCCATCACCACAGGACCTAAGGATGCTCCTCTCGAATCCCCTCAGCAACATGCGTCTAATCCTCTCAACATCGCATTTGAGATGTTCAGCGGTAATCCTTCAGTACCGCTGATGAACCCTCAAGTATATACCAAACTTTCTTTTTTTTCTTAGTTACGCTCAATGCTCTTCTATTTCTACAGGTCTTATGGAGAATGAACCCCCAGTCACTTAGACTGACGCCTATGATATATCTAGGGATGTCAAGTTGTTGCTCCCTGCCGTTGCAACCGTCCTTAACAAGATGGATGAAGTGCACCAAGGAATGCCCTCAAAGGATGACCGAACTCACGACATCTCTGTTGTCCAAGCTGAGGTATGTGAAGTCAAAGAAGAGTTGAACTCTATGAAGATGGAAATCCAACAAAACTCTGAAGTTCTCGTTGCTCTCTCCAGCAAGGCTGAAGATGTTCAGGCTCAGCTTACCAAAGCATGGTAAGCTCCTTGAACGGATCTTCTAACTTCTACAACAACCAACAATAATCCATGAACCCTCCTTCAAGTAGCTGATCGTCATCAGCTGGATATGGTTGATGAGCTCAACCTTCGTCAAGTCAAAACCATTGCCTCCTTGGAGCAAAAGCTGCAAGACTTGGTTTCCCACCTCCCTCTGTCAGCTTATAATATTGATGATGACAAGAGGGCGAAAAGGATAATAAAAAGGACCCTGCGGAGAGGGCATGGGAGAACCATGCTGAGGATGCTAGGGAGAATATCCTTGATGCTATCGATGATGATGATGCGGTGGTTACTACTGTTGACCATGAAGATCATCCTTCACCTCTGCATTTCCAAATGATTGTGATGAAGATGATGATGAGTAGAAGGAGGACTCTGAGCCTCAAATCCCAAACGCATGTACTGACCTTGGTGGTAATTATGATGACGACGACAATGATGATGATTTCTCCATTCAGATAATTCCAAGACAACCTGCCAAAGGAATCTCCTTCAAAGAACCTGTTTCCTAGAGGAAGAGATCATTACACCAGAACTCCTCTGGCAAAGGAAAAGGAGTCGCTGAAGAAAACCTTACCCTAATTGTTGGGGCACTCAGCCAATCTGAGGACGCAGACACTTCTTCCAGGTTTGTACCTGTCACCTCTGAAGCTGAACCTTCTATCCCTCTAGCTCTATCTCTCTCTGCAACACCAACCTTTTATCTCTCAACCCATCTCCCATCTTTTGAAATCCTTGAAGATGATGTTTGCAACCTTATAACCAGGAAGTCGTCTAGACAATCTATTTGTTCAGAGGTTAAAGAAGATCTGAGGATGACTAAGTTAATAAGCCAAATTGACCAAATTGACCAATCTAAGTAACATAATAGATCTTAATCAACATATGATAATTATTAAAATCAAAATAATAATGATTTTAAAAAATAGAGATCAACATTTTGATTCCAAGTACATACACCAAATTGATGATTTTTATTTGAGTAATCTACGATTTTCGTTCATACAATTTGAGAAAGATTTCAATTTTTATCTTTTTGGTTTTAAAATTTCGATTTTCGTTCATATAATTTATAATTTATTACTGTTTTTGTCCCTAAAACTAAATATGTTAAAAACTCTTCCATTAATTTACGGTATTTTAGTCTTTTTGATTTATCCATCGCTAAAGGATTTCGTTGCTAATAGCTTTCCCTCACAAATCCTTCGTTGGTAATTGATCGCCGCTAATCATTACTAAAAGGTGCCCGTCGTTGATCAGTCGTTAAAGCATTATCCATGACCTTTTGACCCACAAACTATTCACGATGACAAGTCCTACCTTTGGCTACAGACAGGGCCGGTCCTGAGATTTTGGATGCCCATGGCGGAAAGTCAAAAAATGCCCCTTTATATGTGTATATAAAAACCAAAATAGACTATTTGAAGGGGTTTGGAACCTACTCAATCTAGGCGGCTCATCCTCACACCGATTTGTTTTAAATATAACACAAGCATTTTCATCACAAGTAATTTCATTTTTGTCACTACCATTTGCATCACAAGCATTTTCATTTTTATCGCTAGAGTTGGAGATAAGGAGATTGATGGGGATCTAATTAGAAATCTGAGATAATTTGACATTCAAGTTGCTACTGCTCTAAATCTTGCAAAGGTGAACAAAGAAGGATCACTGACACAAACTTATGATAACATTCTTTTGTTTGTAAAGTTTACAAATGATTCTTAGCCTCATTATCATTTCAAGACTACAAGTATTACAAGTATTCCTTTGTTCACAACAGAAGCATTGGAATTCTTTTTAGAGGAAATTGAGACAGCTTGTTACGAAGAAGGAAAGGAAGCTTTCAAACCAAGATTGATTGAATCTATTAAAGAAATATTGGAGTTAAGAAAGYTTGTCAAGAATTACTTGAGTGAAGCAATCTCTTAAGAAAATCCAAAAAAGATGATTGAAAAGGATGCTAGTTTGCCTATTGAATATTTTGTTTCTCGAATGATCAATTCTGAAAAGAAGTTGAAAAGAAATCTAAAACAACTGATACTACAGATTATGAAGTTGTGGATGCAAATGAATGGTTCTTGGAATTCAGATTCTTTGACAAATTTATGACAGAGAAGAACTTCAAAGCTATGACTTATGTTGAACTCAATCTGACAGGTACAAGAGAGAGTATTGGGAGTTCATTAACATGATTGGAAAGTTAAAGGGATGTTTATTCAGACGTGATTACAATGTTTGTTGATGTTAAACAAAAAATGTGGAGAAGCATTGATTATATATGATTTGAGGTTGAAAGAGAAGATAACAAGATGTACACTTTTCCAAAAGCTGATTTTCCAAATCTACGTTTGCAAGATATGTATCAGATTTACACTAAGCTTGCACCATATGAAGATAAAGTCTCCAATTTGAAAAGAGGATTGGTTGCTATAACTCCTGGGATTCTAAGAGCTACCATATGGGCAGGAATGATTGATTCCAGGTAGTGTTTGTGTTAGGTAGAAATAAAACGTATTTGCTGTCTCCAGACATAAAACTTGAAAGAATAGAAAGAATGCACACAGGAACTGTGATAAGAAGTCCTGCAGGGTATGTTTTTAACTTTTAAGTACTCATCCGGTTGTGATAAAAACTGTGATAAGAAGTCCTGCAGGAACTATGAAAGAATGCACACAGGAACATTAAAACAGCCCTAAGTTAAAGTGCTAAAATAATAAAAATATTTTTTTTCTTGATAACCGAGGGGTTAGCCTTCTGAAGAGCCTTTTGGTTTTTTTTTAGTTTTGGTCCAATAAAACTATATTTTTTTTCTTGATAAAAAAGTGATATTTTTTTATTATTTTCGTGATAAAATAATAAAAATATTTTTAATACTCCAAAGGTATATTCTTTCTTTTCCCATACTTCAAAGTAAAATTAAAATTTGCAATCATATTTGGCAAGACTAGAAAGGAAGACAGATGTGACCTGCAAATTTTTATTGATAAAGTAATTTGTGAATGGTATTCAATGAAGCATACAACGACGTAAGCAATGACATCAAACAAGTAAGCAATACTCACTCCCCTCTCTATAAGTATATACGCACACACACACTTACTTCATACCTTCGTATTCGACGTTGCAAAATCTACACAAATCCAGAGTCTTAATTTTCCATCTAATTCTCCAAATGGCAAGTTCTAATGATGTAGTACTGTTAAACTTCTGGGCCAGCCCCTTCGGTGAAAGGGTCGAAATCGCTCTGGCTGAAAAGGGTGTCCATTATGACTACAAAGAAGAAGACTGGGCTGACAAAAGCTCCCTGCTTCTTCAGATGAACCCGGTTCACAAGAAACTCCCGGTTCTCATCCACCATGGCAAACCCATCTGTGAATCTAACATCATTGTTCAGTACATCGATGAGACATGGCAGACCGAGGATCCGCCATTGTTGCCTTCCGATCCTTATCTCAAAGCTCAAGCCAGGTTCTGGGCAGACTTTGTTGACAATAAGGTTAATTTTTCAGCTATATGGAGAACAAAAGGAGAAGAGCAAGAAAGAGCGAAGAAAGAATTCATAGATCTGTTGAAGGTGTTGGAAGAGCAGCTTGGAGAGAAGCCATATTTGATAGGAGAGAGTTTTGGGTATGCAGATATCGCACTGATCCCGTTCAGCTGCTGGTTTTATGCAGTGGAGATTATTGGGAAGATGAATATAGAGAAAGAATGTCCTAAGTTCATTGAATGGGTTAAAAGATGTATGGAAAGAGAGAGTGTCTCCAAGTCTCTTCCTGATCCCCACAAGATTTATGAGTATGTGTTGGAACTAATGAAGAAACTTGGCAACTAAGTTATTTAGCGTAATAAAATATGATACTTGGTTGATGTCTTTTTAGGTCTCATTGGTGCAATGTTATATAAATGATGTCTTTCACAATCATATATGACATTCTATTTTTCCTACCCGTTATATTAAGAACCGAAATTGAAAAGGGGCGGTACTCCTCGTGGGCAGAGTTATTCAAAATTCACTGTCGTGACTATGAGGTTATCGAAAAACCTACCTCACCATCCTCTACTTCTGCGTCAAAGACAAGACGGAACCAGAAGACCAAACCTACATTGCGCTTTGCATTTGACTCGATGCTATCGTTCTCTAATGAGTCTATGGAACCAATTTCAATGATCTCCTCCAGTTTTGTCAGAAACTCTTCGAAGGTGCCATTCTTGAACCTAACTCTTGGGCTTATCAAGTGTAGGAACGTTTGAGAAACATTTTTCAAGACAACAAGCACTCCATAGCAGGTTATCCAAACTTCGTCTTTAAAACCCGATTTCTATTCCATTTATTCTCTGAAACCAGATTTCTATTCCTTTCTTCATGATAGCCTACACCCTATCTACTCTCAAACTATCTTCCATGATACTCGCACCAAACAAAATAACACCACATTGCGACCACAAAACTCCACTACCATCTTCACTTGTAGTGGCATCTTCTAACTCACCTACGGCCAACATTCATCTTACTTTGGCCCACCTATCCCCACCTACGGACCAAACTCTATCCACAAACCAACATCCACCTACAGCTCTACAACCTCTACCAATGGTCCAACCTTTAAACGTCTCTCATCCCACTCCATCTCGCACCATGACTACTCGTAGCATGCATGGAATTTCCAAACTCAAACGGACATTTAATCTCATGACCTCGGTCCAACCTTCCCCATTAGACGTAATCCTAAAGATGCATTGTCTGGCCCTAATTGGAAAGCTGCAATGACTAAGGAATTTGATGCCCCTGATAAAATAAGACGTGGGAATTAGTACCTAAACCATCTAATACCAATATAATTCGTTCTATGCGGATTTTTCGTCATAAAAATAACTCTGGTGGTCCTTTTGAGCGATGCAAGGCTCATCTTGTTGTTGATGGCAGGTCTCAAGAGGTTGGTATTGACCGCAGCAAGACGTTTAGTTCAATGGTAAAACCTACAACGACCCGAATTGTGCTCAATATTGCAATCCATAAATCCTGGCCTATACATTAGTTAGATATTAAAAATGCTTTTTTGCATGTCCAACTCAATGAAACAGTCTACATGCACCAGCAGTTGAATTTTCGGGATTCGGCATATCCGGACTATGTTGTCTGCTTAAACAATTGCTATACGGGTTGAAACAAGCTCCCCGGGCCTGGTATGAGAGACTTGCGACTTTTGTTTCTACAATAGGCTTTGCTCATAGCCGATCTGATCATTCCCTATTTGTTTATCGGAAAGGCAATGATATGGCCTATATCCTTTTCTATGTCAATGACATCATTCTCACAACCTCCTCTAATGGTCTTTAGAAATACATCATGTCACTTCTTGCTAACGAGTTCGCCATGAAGGATCTTGGTCCTCTAAACTATTTTTTGGGCATCATAATAGGTTGTTTCTAACTCAAGAGAAGTATGCCATGGAACCTATTGAAAAAGCTAGTACGACTTCGTGTAAATCGGTTTCTACTCTTGTCGTCTCTTGTTGACACTCAGGCCAAGCTTGGCTCATATTTGGGTTCTTCATAGCCTTGTGGGGGCTTTACAATACCTTACATTCGCTTGGTCGAACATCACATATGTGGTTCAACAAGTATGACTGTCTATGCATGATCCATGGGAGTCGCACATTATTGCCCTTAAACGCATACTTCGCTACATCCAAGGTACCATTGATTTTGGTTTACATCTCTACCGGACATCACTCACTAGCCTCATTTCAAACACTGATGCGGATTGGGGTGGTTGTCCGGACACATGTCATTCCACAAGTGGGTATTGTGTTTTCCTTGGAGATAATCTTCTATCCTGGTCCTCCAAAAGACAACCCACCCTCTCTTGATCCAGTGCCGAAGCTGAATACCGTAGTGTTGCCAATATCTTCTCTGAATCTTGTTGGCTCCGGAATCTCCTTCTCGAGTTACATTGTCCCATTGCCAAAGCTACAATTGTTTAATGTGACAATGTAAGTGCTATATATCTATCCGGTAACCCTGCGCAGCACCAATGCACAAAGCATATAGAAATGGACATTCATTTTGTAGGCGAGAAAGTTGCTTGGGTTCAAGTATGTGTCTTGCACGTTCTTTCTCGAGACCAAATAGCCGATATATTCGACAAAACAAATACTCGAGCACGCTGCAATCTCTCTCCGATTGTGACAGAAGACGTTTTTTTGGTGTAAGGTAAAGTGCATCAAAATTAAATATATTTTGTTTTGTCCCTTATTTTTAAAACTTTACTTTCAAAATGATCACGATTAGAAATCTCAAACAAAAAAGTTTTAATCTTATTTCCAAAAATGATTTTTTAAAGTTATAATAAATGCGTCCAATTTTTCCCTAAAATTATTAGTCGTTTTCATGTATATCATTCTGGTTATATGTTTTCTTGTTAACAAAATTAAAATCTAGAAAAAATTAATTATTACTAGTGTAAGTAGAAAAAGAGTCCTAATATATCGTTTTATAAGCCTTAATTTATAGGATCAAAAAATAAAGCTAATTATCTAACGGCATTATAATAAGTTTATAAAATGATTTTGGGTGTTGTAACAAGTTTTTTTAGAACAATGTATAAAAAAGGCCGTCATAATAGTGGATTTATAGGACACTATTTGAAAAAAATATCATATAAAAATATGGATCTATAGAACATTTTTTCAAAAATCTCCTATAAAATAGATAATGATACATTTTGTATTAAGTGTCCAAAAACATCCTATATCTTATTACTACTCTTTCAGATACAATGTTTTATTTTTTGTCTTATAAGCTATGGGTGATCAAAAATCCGATCAACCCAATCCAACCCAACACGAAATGACCCAACCCGAAGCTACCTGATGTCTAATCGAGTTGTAAAATTATCAAACCGTAAGTATTGGGTTGATATTGGGTCACTATTATTTGAACCCAACCCAACCCGCCCGATAAACTCGATATCCTTTTATTTATTGGATTTAATATGATTGTTGAATTTTGATTAATATATACATTACACAATTACACTATCATGTATGCTTTTCATATACACATATTTTTAATCTATTCACATCTTTATATAACTCATTCGTATATATGTTCAGTAACTGTGAATATATATATATATATATATATATATATATATATAATTGAGAAAATGAACTGTATGTGATATATGTAAGAAATGTGGATAAGTTGTATCAAATGGTTGATGAAAAAAAAGAAATTACGAGTACAAAAATAACATATTCAAGGTTAGAAGAATATTTTAATGTACCAAAGTATCAACCCGACCAACCCGTACGGGTYGGGTTGGGTTGGGTTGCACTTTGGTTTGGGTTGGATTGGGTTAAGATTTTTTCATACCGCAAGTATTGGATTGGGTTGTTTAAATGTCTTCAACCCGATCAACCCAACCCATGAACACCCCTACTATTAACCAAGTCATACAAAACAGTCTATCAAAAAACGCTTAGAAATTGATAACATCATATAAACCTAATTTTATTGTAACGATTATTTTGTCTCCTACTTTTCTTGCCTTTCATTCTTAAAAACGTCTCAACAACACATAATTATTAACTAGAAAACAAAAAACAAAAAACAAAATAAACAAGAATGTGATATATATATATATATATATATATATATATATATATATATATATATATATATAGATAGATATATATAGAAGAGTGTTCAAATAAAAACTACCCAATTTGTACAAACCGTGCAAACCTCATTCAACCAATCATAATTTTTCATTTTGTTCATTTTCTTGTAATTATAAGAAGTTGATTAACCATTTTTATTGTGGAGGGTGTTAATCATGGATATTATCATCTTCATTATTTTAATTTTAGAGAAATACATGAAACATTTTCATTAAAATTTCATTAAATATTATATGAAACAATTTTATAACCATATATGAAACAAATTCATCAAAAAAAGTATTATATGAAACAATTTCATAACCATATATGAAACAAATTCATCAAAAAAAGTATTATATGAAACAATTTCACAAGATTAAATAATTTCATGAAAAAATTTCATAAGATTAAACAATGAAATCGACGTATGAGGGTGGTTTGTACGATTTGTACAAATGAGGGTGGTTTTCATTTGATCGCTCATCTCTCTCTCTCTATATATATATATATATTTCGAAAATCCAGATCAAAGCAATAAATGTACATTTTATATCTTGAAAATATGTATTTAAACCCACAAGAGTGTATCAACTACGTACTTCACTAAACAAACCAAACCCCTTTTGAGTTTTCAAACACCCCTCCCCCCCTTTTCAACCCTCACCAAATGCCCACCGAACCGAGCCTTTTCGTCGTTGCTCCGGATGAAAAATATGACGACGATGGTCAAATAAAACGAACAGGTATGTGCTTTTCATATTTCTAATTGCATTTCACATGTTGTAAGAATATATGTACGATTAGATTCATTACTATCTATATATCTTTGTATGCACTTTTTAATCAACATTAATTTTCGATGATTAATTAGGAACATGGCAAACAGCGAGCGCCCATATAATAACGACTGTGATAGGGTCAGGGGTGTTATCACTCTCATGGTGTTTTGCTCAACTGGGTTGGATACCAGGAGTCGTCATGCTCTTGTTGTTTTCCATCGTTTCTATGTTCACTGCTATTCTTTTATCGGATTGTTACCGATCACCAGATCGTGTTTACGGCACCAGAAACTACACTTACATGCATGCAGTCAAGGCCAATCTTGGTAATTTAATTTTGAATTATTCTAAAGAAAATTTTCAAAAAAATCATTCAATTGACTTTAGTGTTTGGAACGATTAAGTCATTGGATAATTTTTTGAAACGAATAAATCTTTGGACATTTTAAACCCTATATAAATAACTTCTTGGATTTTCTAAAATTGTTATATACATCATTATCATCTATAAAAACGGTTAATATAGTAAAATAATTAAAAAATATATGAAAAAAACCAATGGACGTTCATATTTTGAACGATTAAGTCTCTGAACATTTTTTGAACCAAAAGTACTTACATGTATAAAATGAAACAAATATACCAAAAAAAAATACTTAGATTTAAAAAAGATTATTGTTGTAATTTATTTTAATTAAAAATAAAAATATTCTGCAAGTGTGTTTAAATCTTGTCAGTAATATCATTTTATCGACGGATTAGCAACGATATGTATTTAGTTAAATTTTATTGTTAATTCATTAGTAACTTAATCAAATTATTTTCTATTTTTATAATTTAAAAAATCACCAACACAATATATTTTATTTTTAATCAAAGTAAATTTCATTTAGTTATGTTTTTAAAATCTTTTTTATTTTTTCTTAATTTGAAAATTGCATATGAAATATATTTTGTTTCTAATTAAAATAAATTTAATCAGTAATTTTTTTAAAAACCTTTTTTTTATTTTTCTTAATTTAAAAAATCATTGACGGGGCATATTTTATTTTTAACTAAAATAAATTTCATCAGTAATCTTTTTTAAATGTAAGTATTTTTTGGTAAATTTGTTTTATTTCATAGATGTAAGTACGTTTTTGGTTCAATAAATGTTCAGGGGCTTAATCTTTCAAAATATGAAAGTTCAATGGTTTTTTTCAAACTTTTTTCATTATTTTACTATATTAATCAGTTATATAAATCATAAAAATGTATCTAACAGGGTTTAAAAAATCCAAAAAAATTATTTAACATGTTTTGAATTGTCCAAGTATTTATTTATTTCAAAAAATTGTACAATAACTTAATAATTCCAAACACTAAAATCCATTAATTTTTACATGTTATTTCAACATTCGTCCTCCTAAATTTTTTTCTCACATATATCATTTTCAATGCTCTGAATTAAAGGTTTGGATAATATGGTAAAAAAAAATTCCTTTTCTTGAAAGTTTGACTTTTTTTCAATTAAATTTACTGCTTTATTAAATGACTTGTTCATTAATTACTTCATTGATATTACAAAACTTTACATTACCTACACACATTTATGCCATCTGATGTTCTTCTATTTGCAAGTTTTCACATTTTACCCCCTTAAAATTTTTATATTTACAAAGTTGGTCCTCCAACTTTTCTTAATTAACTTGCAACGGAAATATTCATTGGCACACAGGAATGTTTCAATACAAGCTTTGTGGCTTTGCCCAGTACGGTGTTCTTATCGGAATCACCATCGGCTACACCACCACCACCGCCATCAGCATGGCGTAAGTTCACTGCTTCCACTCTTTCTTTTCCAGTTTACCGATCATCGGTAGTGTAAGTTCACTAATTGCACCATGAATCTTGAATCCTCACTACAATAAAATTTTGGGTTTATAGAACACCCCCAATCTCTAAGCGTCCCAATAGACTGCTTTATATGACTTAATTTATATGACCAAAATATAAAATGTCATATCTAAAGGTGTGGTAATAAGTTTATATGACGCTTTTGGACGTTTTAACAAGTTTTTTTGGACATTTTTAATACAAAGAGTCGCATTAGCAACTTTATAGGACACTTTTGAGAAAGTGTCTTATAAACTCAATCTTTTATAGGATATTTGTTTTATAGGATAGTTTTTCAAATAGTGTCCTATAAAGTTGTTAATGGGACGCTTTATATTAAAAATGTTGTAAAAAACTTATTACGACGTCAAAAAACGTCATATAAACTTATTACAAACTAAGTCTTATAAAGAGTTCTATTGGGACGCTTAGAAATTAGGAGTGTCCTATAAACCCGATTTTGTTGTAGTACCTGAACACTATGAATATATATATGATTTATAATTACTGTCAACATGATAAAATCTCAATATGTCAGCGGATGCTAAATATTGAAGTGGTATAATCTTTGTGTTTATGTTCATTAGGGCAATCCAAAAATCCAATTGTTATCATAAGCACGGTCACCACGCGGACTGCCGTGTCCGCAACAACCCGTTCATGGTGATTTTCGCCATTATTCAAATTATATTGAGCCAAGTACCCAACTTCCATAAGCTATCGCCGCTCTCCATCATCGCTGCTATCATGTCGTTTATGTATTCCACCATCGGCATTGGCCTTTCCATCAGTAAAATTGTTGGAGAAGGTGTGGGAAAGACAAGTTTGGTCAGAAGACCGTTTGGAAACGGCGTCAATGGCTCTGATAGCATGTGGAAGATTTTTTCGGCTCTCGGAGATATTGCTTTTGCTTTCTCGTTCACTTTTGTCCTCATAGAGATACAGGCAAGCGTTGATATGCAAATTCTCGTTATTTAGTGACGACCGCTTTGTCGCAATTTCAATCATTAACTTGCAAGGTTTAGAGCATTCATAATGGTTGGAATTTGTCACCTTATGAAGATTTTATGTTGAATGGCATGAAATTTGAGTAAAAGATTATTGCAGGACACATTGAAATCAAGCCCGCCCGAGAACGAAACAATGAAGAAGGCAACGACGGTCGGAATCTCGGCCTCCACCGTGTTTTACATGTTGTGTGGTGCCCTCGGATATGCGGCATTCGGACATGATGCCCCGGGGAATTTCTTAACTGGATTCGGCTTTTTTGATCCTTTTTGGCTTGTCGATTTGGCTAATATCTGCATAGTTGTTCATCTTTTAGGTGCTTATCAGGTAATTTTTTAGAGATTTCATTCGTCACATACAAGAACACTAAAAAATGCTGAGTATTAGCGACGGAAATTTCCCTTGCAGATGCGTCGCTAAAATTCGAATACCATCCTTAATTCAACTGTATAGAAACCCTAATTAACAGTGATTTTTTTTGGTTCGCATAAACCCTATAAAACCATTTTTGACACAAGTGAAGTGATTGCAATATTTTGGTTATGTAGGTCTTAGCGCAACCATTTTTCGGGTTTATTGACGATAGGAGCCGAACAAGATGGCCACAAAGTACACTAATAACGAAAAACTACTCGTTGGGCGGCCTCGAGATCAATTTATTCAGGCTAATTTGGAGAACGAGTTACGTTATATTGGTGACAATAATCGCGATGATATTCCCTTTCTTCAATGATTTCGTTGGTTTACTTGGCGCGTGCACGTTTTGGCCGCTAACAGTTTATTTCCCGATAGAGATGTACATTTCGCAAGCCAAGATTCGCAAGTTTTCGTCCACTTGGTTTGCAATGCAACTAATAAGTGTAGCATGCTTGATCGTATCCCTCGTAGCTGCGGCTGGATCGACTCGTGGACTCGTTACTTCCGTCCAAATCTTCGAGCCGTTTCAGTCTGTGTCGTAGATGGTTTTAGTAACGCTATAAAAATGAAAAGTACTTGGATCGTTAACGATTAATGTTGTTGTTGTCGTTGTCGTTGTCTATTACTATATATTATAAGTGGTAGCCTGTGCCGGCTACTAATTAATAACGTTGTTCCATCAAAACTACTGCTGCTTGACTTAAATGTATGAAATAACAACTTATTTTTATAAATTTGTTGCATTCTACTTTCATTTTTCTTATTACCGTAATGTCTTACAAATTATTTTTTATTAAAACATTGAACTTTGAAAAACCTACATATTATAACAATGGATAATCTATTACCTTTTAAACATGTTAACTTTTTTACTTTTTTCTGTTTGTTTAGATTCAATGAGATAATGTGAATGACACATCAATTTTGATGACATGGTTAAAATAAAATAAATAACAAAAAACCTATTTCAAATTATTTGAAATGATTTTTATTTTCATTACTACGATTTAAAAAAATATATTTTTACTCTTTCTTATTAAATTGAGGCAAATTAGACATTTTAAAGTAAAATATTTCTTAAATAAATATGATATATTATTTTTGAGATAACAGTTTTGTTTGTAAAAAAATGTAATACTTTTTATTTTATTTTGTTCAAAAAAATACATATATCTTTTAAAATTCTTTTTAAAATGTTAGCGAGATAAATTGTGATCTACATTTTTTTTAATATTTTTATATTAATGAATAATTCAAAAAGATCTAATTAATTAAATATATTTATATGTCAAGTAATTTTTTTAACAAGTATTATATATTCTTTAAATATATTTTTTGGTAAGAGAATAGCAATTAATATTTTCTCTTTTCAAATAATACATATTCTTTTTAAATGTTAACGAGATAAATTTTGTTTTACTAGTTTTATTAATATTGGTATATTAATGAATAATTTAGAAATTTTCTAATTCATTTAATATATAATTAAATAATATGTAAAATGTCTAAGTAATTCAATATTAAAACTAAAAGTACAACGTTGTAATAAAAACATATAAATGTTATAATAAAATAATTTTGAAATTACAATGTTCTAATAAGAAAAAGTCACATTAGCTATAGTACATGTGAACAACTTATGTGGACAGTGGAGGTGGCATGAAAACCTAGTATAATGGTTAAATTTAAATCAAAATGTTACACAATGTTATAATAGATAAATTTTTCAAAGTACAATATTATAATAAAAAATAATTTGAAAATACATTGTTATAATAAAAAAATTTGGATATGCAATGTTATCATAAGGAAATCTATGAAAATAAGTTGATATTTTATGCATTTTGTCCAATCAAATATCGTGTAGTCTGCGTTTTAGTTAAATATACCATCTAAAATTTTGAATGGTTCTTTTTGATAAGATTTTATAAGTTCGTCCCTTTAAAATAAAAAATAAATGCAAAGTAGAGATGACCAAAATTCGGTCCCGGGCCGGGCCTTAACCGGTCCCTACCGGTCCTAACCAAGACAAAAACCGACGGTAACCGGTCCCGGTACCGGTTCCGGTGATTTTCCTTGTAACCGGTCAAGCTTACCGGTAACCGGTTGTCCCAACCTGTCCCGGTTCCGGTCCCATAACCGGTTCTGGCCGGTCCTATTCAAAAAAAAAAAAAAAAAATTTCAAATTTTTGGTTATTAATAAATTTTTAATATGTTATTAATATGTTTGTAATATGATATTTTTAATATGTTTTATTATAAATACATTTTATTATAAATACGTTTTGTTATATATTTATATATATATATACGTTTATAAATACGTTTTATTATAAATACGTTTAAAAATACACAATAAAAATACCTTTTATTATATATATACGTTTCATTGACTTTCATTGACCGATCCGGGCCGGGCCGGTCCTATAACCGGTTACATAACCGGTCCCGGTCTTAACCGGTTTCGGTCCCAAAAAAAGTCAAAAACCCTAACCGGATCATAACCGGCGGTCCCTCAACCGGTCCCGGTTCCGGTCCTCCGGCGGTTATGGGCCGGGCCGGGCCTATTTGGCCATCTCTAAATTGCAAAGTAAACGAATAATTCTTTGAACCGTGACACGTTACGGTTATTGTATCTGAAAGTCCTAATTAATCAAAGCGTTATAAAAAATGACTATTTTGTCCTTTGAGGATCAATACTTTGGGGTAGGGGTGTTCAAAAACCCGACCAATCTGATCAACCCAACGCAAAATAACTCAATCCGATGTCTAATCGAGTTGTAAAATTGGCAAACCGTAAGTATTGGGTTGATATTGGGTTACTATTATTTGAACTCAACTCAAACCAATGAAACCCGATATCCTTTTATTTCTTGAATTTAATATGATTGTTGAATTTCCATTAATATATACATTAGACAATTACACTATCGTGTATGCTTTTCATATACACATATTTTCAATCTATTTACATATCTATATAATTCATTCGTACGTGAACATATATATGTAAATTGAGAAAATTAACTGGATATGGTATACATAAGAAATATGGATAAGTTGTATTAAATGATTGATGTTGAAAAAGAAATTATGAGTAAAGAAACAACATATTCAAGGTTATAAAAATATTTTAATGTACAAAAGTATCAACCCAACCAACCCGTACGGGTTGGGTTGGGTTGCACTTTGGTTTGGGTTGGGTTACATTTTGGTTTGAGTTGGATTGGTTTAAGATTTTTCAAACCGCAAGCATTGAGTTGGGTTGTTCAAATATCTTCAACCCGATAACTCAACCCATGAACACCCCTACTTTGAAGCAATAGCTAAAACATCACTTTCAGTATTCTTCCAACAAAAAGTAACTTAATTACTTTATTAATTTTTATTTTGAACGACTAAATCATGAACTTTTGTTTGAATAAAAAAGAATTTTCTTATTTTAAATTATCTATACTATATTATAAAATATTTGACAAAAACACTTAAAGCCATTTTTTATGCATGAAGTACTGTATATTGATGCATATTACTTAAAATTCAAGATTACAAGTAAATTATGCGTAAGTAAAACTTATTAAATTTTATGTTGAATTCGTATAACTAACTGCGAATAAACATAATCAAATAAAAAATAAACATCTCATTTTAAAATCTAAAAAATCTAAAATATAATCAGGATAATTATCGAGTTCTAACAAAATAATTAATCAATATCTTTATAATAAAATTATGTTATTAAACCAAATATAAATTACTTCGTTATTGAACCCAAATTAAATTATAATAAAAAAATTGAATTAAAAAAATGAAAAAATTTAAATAATTAATTTGATACTAATATCGATATATTTATGTCAAATATTTATGATATTTTTAAATTTATATTTTACTCAAAAATAAAAACATTATCGTTTTTTCAAAGTCATATAMGACCATATTATAACATCGACTGAGATAAAAAAATAAAATGAAATATTAAAATTAAGATATATCTCGTTGCATTACACGAGTACCCTTCTAGATAACTTTAAATAAATAAATCTTGGTTATGTAAATCTTTATAAACTAAAAAGCTACGTGTAACCGGTTTGAAAGGTTCTAAATTAAAACAAAAACCTAAATCAGTTTTACGTTTCTCAAACCCAACACCCATCGCTCCCCGGCCCTAATTGTCATCTGCTCTCTATTGGTGTCGTTGGCACTTGCTATCGATCTCCCTCTATTTGATCGTTTTTTTTTTGTTTTTCAATTCTCCTTCTTGTGCTTCATTAAATTGTTGTAAAAGAAAGAGAATCGAAAGACAAAAAAGAAAAAGGAAAAAAAAAAGAATCGGTGGCAGGGGACAAGGGCGGCAATGGGTGGTTTGGAGAACAAACGATGATGAGCTGGCAAGCGGTAGAGACGACGTTTGATGCGAGGGGTTTGAATGATGTAGTATTTGGAAACTCTAAACTGGTTTTTAATTTTTTACTTTAGAACTTTCTTAACCGATTACCAGTATTTTTTTAGCATTCAAAAAATATATAATAAGACTTAATTATCAAAAGGAAAAAGTAAAATTATATATTTATTTTAAAAAGTTTAAAGACATAATTATTTAAAATGGAAAAATTCGCTTTCTTTGGTTCTTCTCCGTTCTTTTTATAGTGCTATAGGGAATCTTTTGTTTAAAGTTAAATGTACGAAATAACAATCTACTTTTATAAAAAAAAATTATTATAACATCATTTTTTTTTTTATTATAACAATATACTTTAAATTATTTTTTATTAGGGTATTGTATTTTGAAAAATCTACTTATTATAGTAATGAGTAATTTGTTATTTTTTAAACCAGTTAACCTCTTACTTTTTTTTGCTTGCTTGTCTTAAATGAGATGATGTGAATGACATATCATTTTGATAATATGACCAAAAACAAAAAAATAACCTCTAATAAATTATTTTTGATGATTTTCACTTGTTTTTTGCGACGATTTAAAAAAAACATTTCAATTTTTTTACTTTGTCTTGTTAAATTACATGCAGATTATATATTTTAGAGAAAAATAATTCATAAATTAATATGATATACTATTTTCGAGATAACTATTTTGTTTGTAAGAAAATGTAACATTTTTCTTATTTTATTTTATTCAAAAAAATATACTTTAATGTTTTTTTCATAAAAAAATCTAATTAATTTAATATATTTATAGGTCAAATAATTTTTTAAACAAGTACAATATATTTTCTTAAAGGTAATAATTCTTATTTTCGTTTTTCAAAAAATACATATTTCTTAAAAATGTTAGTCAGATAGATTGTGTTTTACTAGTCTTCTTGGTATTGGTATATTAGCGAATAATTTAGAAAATTTCCAAATTAATTAATATGTCCGTTAAATAATATCTAAATCAAATTCTTTTTCAAAGTACAATGTTGTAATAAGAGATGTCACGTCAACAAAATTTTACACGTGGACATCTCATGTAGACAATGACATGACATGAAAACCTGAAAACTTGTGTCATGTCATCTTATTTCAAATCAAAAGATTATCCATTGATATAATCTCGATTTTGAGAGATTAAATTTTTAGTTGAAATTTTACTAAATTTAGGTAAACATGTTTGATTAAAATGTACAATGTCTAAATAATAAAATACTAAAATTAAAGTACAATATAATATATGTCATATCATCATATGGTACACATGGACAACCTACGTGGACAGTGACATAACATGAAAATCTAGTATAATGTGTAAATAAAAATCAAAAGGTTACCCAATGCTATAGTAGATAAATTTTTCAAAGTACAAAACTCTCTAATAAAAAATAACTTATAATTACATTGTTGTAATAAGAGAGTTTATATAAGTAAGTTGTTATTTTTTTTTGTTGATTAACCTGGATATCTAACCCGCTATGCGAACCGACTAATCTCAGGACGACTACATGTTTTGCAGATAGCCCGGAGACCGGAGTCACCGCATTTGAACCTCCGCGGCCACAAGAGGATTTTTATTCCTCCTTGGATTTGAACCTGAGACCTCCTGGTACTTTTGACCTTTGGAGCCAAGCTCAAACCAATCAAACACCACCCTTGTGATTAAGTTGTCATTTTATATGTTTCGTACTAAAGATAAAGTTGTAAGTTTTCTCCCTATATTATGAAAGGTCAAAAGCAATAACATAATCAATTATTGTAAGTTGATATCAGTGAACAATATCTTTGATTCTCATTTTACAAAGAAAGTTAGTCCTTCGTTTAGTATTTAATATTCTCTCCACGCTTTTCTTTAATTATCCTTTTAAACGTTAATTATGTTGGGTAATGTAACATATGCAATACTCGCGACATTCGTTCTTAACAATTAAGGATTCTTAGTTATCGTGAAACTTGAACGGCATGCATGCATAGTTGGTGTTCAAGTTGTTGGAAGGTTTGGGTTACCCTCCAAAGTATCCCTACCGGCTTATCTGGCCTTACAACCAACACGAGTAATGGGTCGTTTACCTGTGTAAACAGTTACCTTAACATTCTCGGTCATCAAAATAGATACTTGAGTTACAAACAAACTAATCCAAACAATTACTTACCCAAAAAATAGCATGCTTTTTGCTTCAAAGGCAACCTGGTACAGAAAGTAAATAATTGATAAAAGAGAAGAAAATTGAAGGGAAGTGGAAACCTAAGTAGGATGTCCATTATTATATATATGCATTTTCCATATTTTGAACATAAAGTCAAATCAAGGGTCTTACTCCAACACCCACACGCACACACACACACACACAAAGAGTGAGTTGGTGTTTTCATCAGCCACCTCCACTTCCTTGTGTTCTCTTCTCTTCTCCTATTAATAGCCTTCACCACCACGCTAATAAATGCACAATTAAATGTCAATGGAGAAAGGAGACTCCAATGAAGGGTACGATGATGATGGAAGAGTTAAAAGAACAGGTTTACATGTTCAAATTACGACCTTAATTAATTATAATTAATATATGCAATTGCAGTCTCTTCTCCAATTACCGTTTTTGTTTATATATGCATGCGTACATTTGAAAAGTGATGTTATAACTTGTAATTAATTGATAACGATACTAATTGTATTATTATGTGAATAATTAATATGTTGATGTTTGCTAAATTTGTTTATACTTTTCATTGTGGTTTTGAAGGGACGTTAATAAGTGCAAGCGCACATATAATAACAGCAGTTATAGGATCAGGAGTGTTGTCGTTAGCATGGTGTTTTGGTCAATTGGGTTGGATTGCAGGGACAGCTTCTCTTATGGTTTTTGCAGTCATCACTTGGTTCACTTGCCTCTTGCTTTCAGACTGTTATCGTTCGCCTGATCCGGTTACCGGCACCAGAAACTACAATTACATGCAGGCTGTCAAAGCTAACCTTGGTAATTTCATCAATTTCTTTATATGAGTTCAAATATATCGAAAAGACTGTGCCAAAAGAATTGCTACCTTTCTGTTGTATGGTATGATTTTTGTTGGTGATGACGATTGACAAATGTCCACTTAAAAGGCTTCCATAAGAAACAAGAGTGAGTTTGTTGTTTATTTCTGTATAAAAAAGCTCCCCATGATCATTATATATATTACGTAAGCCATTAAGAACTCGCTGGACCTAAAGTTGAGTTTGGGACATCATCACTTTAGTAAAATAGCCTGCCAACTACTACAAGACCCAATAACAACCCAAGGGTTAAAGCTTAGCTCCCTAAAGTTGGTCAAAAGTGGCCAAGTCTTTTTTAAACCTACAAAATTTTATATCCGTTCATTTGAGGAACCACACAATCTATATACAACATATATACATACTCTATATATATATATATATATATATATATATATATATATATATATATATATATATATATATATATATTTATATGGGGTTAGGTTCCGGTCGGAAAGAAAGTTATAGTAAGAAGGGATCTCCACTCTTGGATCAATCCTAAATGAAAAGAACCATTAGATCAACATTAATGAGATATACTAGATCAATTCCTTTCTAAAGAACAATTCATGGGTTGTTCTCAGGTTAAAAGTGATCAAGGATTAAAATCTCTTCTTATACTTCTCACTCAAACTCCTATTCTCAGATGATCCTTATACACACATATTTGACAATCTAGAAACCAATTGTTCATGTTTTATTCATTATGCATTTAGTGATAAATATTCATGATGAAAATGCCTATCATGAATTATGAAAATACATTATATTCAAGATTATTCATGATGAATAATGCATGAAATAACTAGGGTTGTCAGGTTCATAAATGAACTTTGTCCTACACATATAAAGGCATATATAAGAAATAACAAATTGGGTTCCAAAAATCTCAGGAGGACTTCAATACAAACTTTGTGGAATAGCTCAATATGGGATTCTTATTGGAGCTACCATCGGATACACCATCACCGCCGCCATTTCCATGGCGTAAGAACTATAACCAACATGTTTCCATGATTCCATCCGTTACTAACAAGTTTCACCTATTCTGATTTCTTTTTAATTTGGCTCGATCACCAGGGCAATTGAACGCTCAAACTGCTTCCATAAGTCAGGCCACCACAAGGGGTGTCACACATTGAACAACTCATATTTGTTGATCTTTGCGATTATTGAAATTGTTTTAAGCCAAATCCCAAACTTCCACAAACTCTCACTAATATCCATCGTTGCGACCATCATGTCTTTTACCTACGCTACCATTGGCATTGCTCTCTCCATTGCCAAAATTGCAGGTTAGAATCTCTACAAACTTGTGTCCTTTTTCCTTATAGAAAAATGTAAGAACTTTCATTCATTCGTGTTTTTTGGATCTAAGAAGAAGGTGGACACACCAGAACAAGCCTCACAGGAATACCAGTTGGGAAAGACATGCCAAGTGTTGATAAAATGTGGACCACTTTTTCAGCCATTGGAGATATTGCTTTTGCCTATTCTTTCTGTCCAGTCCTCCTTGAGATACAGGCATCTCTCTCTCTCTCTCTCTCCCTCCCTCCCTCGCTATGTATATAAACACACTCATACACACACACACATATATATATATACACACATACATATGGGCATGTTCAAGTGAGAACAGTAAATATTTTAAAAACCTATGAACCAACTATTCATACTTTATTAATGATGAAAATTGTTCATAATGAAATGTCATGAATTATGAAAATGCATGATATTCATGATCATTCATTGTTGTTATTCATGAATAATGCACAAAATAGTGGTTTTCAGGTTCTCAAATATTTATGGTTCTCATTTAAACTTTTCCCTACAAACATATATGTATTTATGTATAAATTTTGCTAATAAAATGTTGGAAATGCAGGACACACTGAGATCAAGTCCTCCAGAAAACAAAGTCATGAAAAGGGCATCTACTGTGGGAGTATCAGCATCGACCTTATTCTACATGATATGTGGGACACTAGGATATGCCGCATTCGGTAATGACGCACCTGGGAATTACTTGACAGGATTCGGTTTTTATGAGCCATTTTGGCTTATTGACTTTGGTAACTTATGCATCGTAATTCATCTTCTTGGAGCCTACCAGGTAAAGAGTTATTTAATAACTTTACTATATCTGAACTAAGAGTATCCACAGTGGAGCTTTTTGCAGATTTTTTGGGAGAGTTTTTTTGGCCCAATGAGATTGTGAAAAAGCATTTGACAAAAAAAAAAACCACCTTTTGCTTGTAACCACACAAGCTCCCAATAAGCTTGTGGGTCCCATTTTTTTCATGTTTTGCTTGGCCACCTAAGCTTGTGGGTCGCACTTTTTTGGAAAAAGCATTAATGAGAACGCTTATCAGTTATCATTGTGGATGCTCCCAAGAGAATAATATCACCTTCAACCCCTTAAATCTACTTATACAGGTGTATATCCAACCATTTTTTGCGTTCGTGGAAAACTGGAGCAAAGAAAAATGGCCACAAAACAAATTTATAACAATAGAATACTCGCTAGGCAAATACAAGATCAACATCTACAGGTTGGCATGGAGGTCAGGATATGTGGTCTTAGCGACACTGGTAGCCATGATCTTTCCATTTTTCAATAGTTTTCTTGGCCTTATTGGTGCTGCTACGTTCTGGCCATTAACGGTGTATTTCCCAATAGAGATGTACATTTCAAAAGCAAAGATTGAAAAGTATAGTTTCACCTGGATCTGGATGAAGGTATTGAGCCTGGCATGTCTGACTGTATCACTAGTTGCTGCTGCTGGATCTATCCGAGGCCTCGTTGTGTCCGTGGAGACCTTCAAGCTTTTCCATTCAGTGTCTTAGATTCTAGAACCTGTCTGTTTCTCTTCAGTATAAACATTATCCCAGATTTGATTTAGTTAAAGTGAAACAAAACAAGGGTTATCATGTAATATGCATCATTGGCTTCTGAATTTTTATAGTTTTCGGTAGACTAGCATACCGGAATTGTTTGTTGTATCAAGTTCCTTTTTGTAAACTATTCTGAGTTGATCATCCATCTAAAGAGTTAAACCATGATTAGCAAACTAGTGTTTAGCTGGGACATATGGAGAAGTATTTAGCTAAACGACCTCCTAACAAATGTTTTTAAATCTATGACCTTCGGACAAGTTTTTAGGCATTCTTATGTATGATAATGGCATTCTTCTGTTAAGCAAAACATTCTCAAACCTATCAGAAGGTCATAGGTTTAACAAAAACCTGTTAGAACCTCATTTAACTGAAGGACCCGACGTATAGACCACATCTGCAACATCATACCACCTAGTAATTCACTGATAAAATAACAAGAAAATCAAGTCGAGCCTGTTATCATATTGCATCAACTGTACCTAAGTTTATAAACTTGTATACAGCTGTTCTAAATATCCCATCTGCTCAATTTCCCATTATAAAGCTGCAATTGAGAAAGATCTAGGCTTTGCATCAAGATAGTGGCCACGCATCAAGCTAACTAAACCATCAAACGCATCCGACTTTTCCATATCAAATACATATGAAACAGTGTTGCCATAATCAGCTGATCTACATACCAGTTAAACATAATTATGAATGGTGACTTACCTTATACAATCACGACATAGTATTTACAAATGTGAATGGAAGAAGTCTCATAACAAGGAGAGTTCCTTTTTACATTTAGAGCAACTAACAATGTGGTATAATATAAGAACAGTGAGAAATCTAGTTACCTTAATTTTTCTATTTTTTATTTTCATGGGAAGAAGTTGCTAGACGGTTAACAAACTTTTAACAGCAGACACCCAACGTGCATAATGATATAACAAGCTACAACTATTTTATGCAAGATCTCGTTCAAAAATCTGTGCAAAGGCTACTGACCATACCCTTATTTTCACAAGTATATATAAGGAAAAGTACAAGGCAACAGCAATTGTCATACAATTTTACAGGAAGCTGACATAATCAATATAACATTGGTGAAGTTTGGGACATCCGTTCATCTTCTAGAAGTGCATATGGATCAATATATTGGGGTAGCTGTACTTGTCTTGCGGTACCATCATGGACAAATTTTGGTCCAAAATACTGCAGAAAGAACAGACCGTTAAGGATGTTGACAAGTTACAAAGCAAAGCGAAAGCAAAAGTCTTGGCAAACATACTAAAAGAGTAAACATTGTTTGGGGGTTTTTAAATTAAGCATTGAAGATAGGTAGCATTTAGGTTGAATGATAGCTACATCTTTGTCACAAAAAAATAGTCCACTCTAGACTTTGAAAATTCAGAACTAAATCTAAGTTTTAATTGACATAGATGTTTTTAGCTTTTTTAGTTTCAGAATGTTATGGTAATAGATTGTTATAGTTAAATGCAATTATCATGTTAGCTAATCGGTAAGCAAAGCAGTTAAGAAGGAATTCATTTGACACTCAAAAGTCAAATGTAGGCTCTTCCACTGAAACAGAGGGGTACTCATAAATATGAGCTAGAGTAAAATTAATTAACACACCTAACGTCCAAAGTTCACATCGATCAAGTCATTGAACGTTGGTCTTAAGAATGAGTGATTGCGCTTCTCCAAATTGTTTCCTTTTTTCTCCCCTTTTGAGTGCAAATGTGATTTTAATTTTTTCCTATGCAAGGAACTAATATTTTCTCTACATGAGAAAATATGAGAACGTTTTACAAGTTTCTTGTCACTCACATCAAATAAAATGCTTCAGGGTTTTCCATGTGATATCAGTGTCTCAATCATAAAGCAAATAACTTGCTTCTACCAGTATAAAACGAGGCGACACTTTTTTTTCAGCCAGACGATCAATTTAAGTTTACATCATCGAGAAAAACAAGGAAAAACAGGGAAGACCTTGATCTTTCAATGATGATAATAGATTATCCCAAAATGAGATAAATGGTAATATCACTTCTATAACTTAGGAGAGTTCTGTTCCTTTCCATTTTCTATTTTTTGGTGCCAGCCAAAGACTGACTTAGCTCCTAGTCTCCGTGATGTACTAACCAATTTCAATTCCATGTACATAAATAAATATAAAAAGAAACACATGTTGGCGAACAACTTTGTCCAACATGATATTTCAAACAGTTGTTATGCACCAACCAACCATATGAATCAAATTTATGAACTAAAACTAGGAATTGCTAAGAATACTAGCAGAAGTATACATAAATTGTAAAAGCATCATGTCTCAACAGTGCTTACAAGGTAAATAGCAGAGAAGGATGCAACAGTTACAAGGAACAGTGGCCAAAATGCTAAGAAGAATGTTCCTCCAAGCCTTAGCAAGAGGTTAGCACGCGGAATCAATCCCTGGCATGCAGAAAAGAAGACTAAGTTCCATAATCTTATAAACAGGAAAAAAAAAAAAAAGAGAGAGGAGGAATATGAGACCAAAAAAGTCACTGCAGTTATTACAAAGAACACTACAAATATCACAAATCATTTGTTTTTAAACCTGAAGTGCAATATCATAGATCATTAACTCAGCTAAACATGTTTGAAGTTCAGAGACTTATTTGCACTTTGCTGTCATTCAAACATGTAGAAAACATCAATCTGAAGTGAGTTAGCCTTTGAGTGCATACCATCTTTAAGGGATTAGGATTATTATTTATTAGCATATTTTCCTAGTTTCCTTGTACTGATGAGCAAGACTTGAAAGTCATACAATTCAAGCATCTTGAAAGTCAAACATTTTCGTATCTCTCCAATAAACCGAAACATAAGTGTCCATTTATTGGTTACTCAAATCTTAATAAGCTACTCATGCCTCTAAGATTAAATGGCTTATATCGTGATTGGATAGCTTCAATTTACCTATTATCTATTATAACACTCCTACAACTTCTCTGATGGACTCATGGGTTGCTATTGCAGAAACCTCCTACAAAGAACTTCAGATCACTACTGCTGGTCTCCACAATTTATACTCAAGCCCAAAAATATCTATAAGTGATATGAATACAGATTGCATATAATCCATATCTATTTCAATTATATTCATCGAGTCCAGAATAGAACCTAGAAGGTTTATTAAAATTCAAAGTATGACATGAATATAACATTTATGTACTTCTGCAATACACATAAAATGAACATAGTGAAAGCGTCAAGATTCATTTCATAATAGTATAGAAGGCATAGACATCCCAGATTCCACTTTCCAATTAGATAATTAATTTTGACTGTCACCGTTAAAGATGTTTTTTTCAATAAAAGATTTAGAGCCAGGTCATTTTTTTGTGCTCTAGCAAAGACACACATAATACTTTGCATATTCATCCTTATATAATCTGATAAAGCTTTCTTGAAATGATGCAGGAAATTGGAAACAGGTTGATTGCTAAAGCTCTTGTCCTCTTAGCATGGTTGCTTAGACATTCCTTTAGGCCGGCTAAATACTAGAGTTCTATGACCAACTAACATAACTAGAACCTTCATTTGATGTAAAAGAAGATATGTGACTTCTCAGGAGTTCTGTCCTTCATGTTCTTGTGGTTGCCCAAGACACACATATAGAAAAATGCAAATACTCTTTCACCAAGATCACCAGCATCTTTAAGGATTTTTTTGAGAAAAACAAAATATTATAAGAAATTAAAAACGATTAAAAATCTTTCAACCTCAAGGCCCTCACTGTTCAAAGCCATGGATCGCTCCCTTTGATTAGATAGGCTTTTCTCAAAATCTGTTGATACATTGTTTGAACTTGAAATGTTTCCATCTTCATCCTTAAACATCATCTCCTTGTTATTGGAAGCTGTCCAGCTTTCATCGAGCAATGAAGTGGGAGTCATACCGCGTCGTTTCAATTCCTTCATAAACAAAGATTCCGGAGGTTCTTCACCTGAAAATAGTGGAAATACCAGACATCCGAGTTGGACGCTATAAATTACCCACCAAAATATAGATAAGCATATCAAAAACCGTAAACCAAAGTTCCTCATTGAACAAAAACTGTTTATGGGGACATCGCTAATGGTCTACATGGTCATTGGCTGTAACCCCCAACATGTCTTACCCTATTGGCGACAAACCACCTTCAAGGGCAAGTGCAGTCAGCATGTAGAGTAAATCGAGCATGATTAGAGAGCATATCAATTCAGCATTGCAAAAGTAAGCTTTTCTACTCATGCTTTTCATCTTCACTAATTACTGTCTATTTAAATTCTGTTTGCATTGCATTCATATTTTCTGAACACTACTAAGATTACGGATTTCCATCTGTTGTACATGAATATCTGTATTTCTACATTAAACTATACACGAACATCTTACATCGCACCAACAATACAAATTCTTAAAAAGCAAAGATGAATACATTATAAATTTATAATAAATTAAGCAAACGTTGGGTAAATAAAATTAAGCGTCTGGTTACACTTCTTCATGCGCATTACGGAGTTGATTTTGGAATTAGTTAACGCATAATATGAAAGGAGAAACCAAATTTTCCAACTAAAAGCCATAAAACAGCAGAAAATGTAATCAAAGCAAGTACCGTTTCTTTCACTATTATCAGCATCTTGAATCCTGCAAGAAACCTTGAGCACTCTGTTAGTCGATAACTTTGAGCTGAACTTGACAATTCTTCTTGTACCAGAGCAACCAAACCGTTCATTCCTACGAGAAGACGATGGCGAAGCAGAAAACGGATATAAACCGGCTTTCAACATCTTAACCGAAGCCATTGTTAATATTCTCCAGGATTTTGGGAAAGAAATTGGGGAATTTTACTCCATTTTTTGATAGAAAGCTGTTTCTGTAGAGAGAGAAAGAAGCAAGTGGCGGTGAAGCTGTGAGCATTTGTTGGTGCCGCTGATTGCTAATTTGCGCTTGGATTTTGTGTGGTGGAGTGGTGGTTGCTTCGTGGCTACAATAACCACCTGTACAGTTTCCATCCCAAAGGGCTTGATCGTAATTTATGAAAACTACTTCAAAAATCAACATATTTTGTAAGTTACTTCATTCTATGAGGTATTTGGCTTGTTATAAGTTAAAAGGGTTTAACTTTTTCAAAAACTCCTTATTACCGGTTTGACACCGGTATAAGTTGTTTATCCAATCACTCAAAAATGCTTATTGCCGATGTTGCACCAAAATAAGTCAATAAATTGTTTTTATAAGCAATCTTAAACACCCCTAGATTTGTAACTAGCAATCTTCAACCTGCCCATATGATCACGTATTTAAAACACGATATGAGTGGTAAATCTGATACACAACTACTTGATAAGATCACAACTTAAGTGATGAGTGCCAACAAGGATGGATAAAAACCGGTCCACCAATCACATGAAACCGTATTATCAATTTCTTAACAAGACAGAAAAAACCAAAAGATTTTAAGGTGATACCATCAGAATAGAGTATTCTCAAACGGTGGATCATTGTTAAGTTTAAGTTTTCCCACATTAATAAGAAGTTGAAGGATTGAAATAAAGAAGTCTTTATAATAAATGAGGGTATCACTTCATGGGATTTGACTCATGAGGTTGTCTTACTTTCAGAGTTTGTGTGAGCTAAATCTGGGAAAAAAAAAGACTTCATAGTTTGGGTGAACTAAGTCTGAAAAAGAAGACTTTAGAACTCTGTATAGGCAAGCAAGAAGTTATGCATGTACTATGCAGAGGCTCTGCATGGTGCTCTATCTAGAAAAGAAGACTTCCAAAATGTAATCAAAATAAACGATCAAACAAAGTAATATAATCAATTACCACACAATCAAACAAAGAAGACTTCAAAGTTCGGGTGAGTTAAGTCTGAAAAAAAAAAGACTTCAGAGTTCCGGTGAGCTAACTCTGAAGAATGACTCTTCAGACTTGTACTCTTGAAACAACTCTGAAGTATAACTATGAAGAATAACTTTGAAGAATGTCTTTTTATACTTGAATTTGGAAATGAAACTATATCAATAATTAGTTAAAATGAAGTTAATCATAAAATAAAATTGAATTTAGAAATGAAACCATATCAGTAAATTGAATCTAAACTTAGAAGTAAATCCCCTTTTTTTTCTGAAATTAGTTACCACACAAATTAATTAACTCAATAATAAAATCAATTGCATCCTAAATTAGTGGGATTGATTGAATAAGAGGACACATGTCAATCAAATGAGTTTAACTGAACTGCTAATGTAAATTGTGTTTAGATACGTGTTTAGACGGGAAAACACTAAAATCGGCTCACCAAAAGATGACACGTATCATGTCAGTTACTTATTTATTATAAGTATATATATATATATATATATATATATATATATATATATATATATCTTTATTTTTCTTTCTTTATATGTATAAAAGAAATAACCAAGGGTATTTGCGGTGGCACTGTGATATTTGTGTATTCTCATATCTTGTATTTAGTGTTAGTTTAGTCATCCTATGTTAATGAGAAAATGCTAGATTGGAGAATGAAGGTGACTATAAGAAATAAAAAGTAATGCTTGATATAAATTTGAAACGTGGTGGCTTTGGTAATCCCACATTAGTGAGAAGAAATTTATAATGAAACATGTGACTATCAGACTATATACTGATAAGATGATAGGATGTTTATTTGTGGCAACTCATAACTTTGGTTACTTTATCTTCAAATACTTCGTAATAACAACAGTGATATGGCTGTATGACATGCCGTTTGAATTATAAATAGCATAACAACAAAATTAGCACTGATATATCTCAAACTCTTCGTAACAAGAAATGGTTATCAATATATGAAATGAACCAATTATAAGTACATACGTCGTTTTATATTATATCTCATTATTTATTAACGCAAGAATTACATTTTATGTTAACTCAGTCAAGTACTTCCTTAAAATATTTATCGCTACCGTACAACACGCGGAACCATACTAGTTTAAATAAAAAAGACAGCATGCAAGTGATTGGCGGGACAGGGAATTTGGGGACAACAAACTTGATCCCACAAGGAGCTCAATTCCTAGAGGAAGTACAACCTATAAATTGTGACCGTTAGACTCGAACCCAGAAACGTATGTGCAAGTATACTATACCGAGATCAGTTGTGTTACACCCTGTGAGATAATTCATCTTCATTACAACACCTAAAACCTAAAACATGTTAAAACCATTTATAACTTTGAGTTTTTACAAACTCTTACACTTAAACTTCCTATGTCATCAATCAACCTATGAACCAAGGGGCTTGATATGGCACGGTGGTTAAAGTAGGGGTGTTCAAAAAAACCATTGTACCACTCAAACCGGCCGAACCAAGTCAAATCGGACCGTGTTTTGCGGTTTAAGGGGTCTGGTGGTTTGATTTGTTTTGGAAAATAGCGAAACTAATCAGTCCGGTCAGATCTGCGGTCTGGAACTTTTTTTAGGCGGTTTAAACCAAACCGACTGCCAAACACACACACACACACACACACACACACACATATATATATATATATATATATATATATATATTCTAGTATTAGCAAGCCAAGCTTTTTTAACTTACGGCCAATGGCCTAAATATATCTCTAAGCCCAACATAAAGTCAAACATCTAACATAATCAAATCCAAATGAATGGGCACCTAAAAATCCCTAAACCAGTAAATATGTCGACACATGATGGTCTCCAAATTTTGAAATCCCCCAAGAACTCTAACAATCTATCAATTTTGTTAAGAACTCAAGACTCAAGAAATTGAAGGTTGTGAAGTCGTGGATTTTGTTACTCAATACTCGCAGTGGAGTTGTAACTTTGTTAATTTGTTTGTTTTCTAATATGTATTATATATTTATTTGTTTGGACTTTGAATTGCTTGGATTTTGGACTCAAGAGCTACTTAATTATTACATTTATTTGTTTGGATATTTTGTTTTGTTAAAATGGATATTTAATCTAAAATTCTAAATTATATATGTTTTTTTAATTTTAATATTTAAAGTCCATTAAATGTCTAAACGGCCTAAACCGGTCATACCAGACCGCCTTTTCGTGGTTTGGTTTGACCGGTCTAAGCATTTGATGTCAAACCGCTCGGTTTGAAAATTTTATAAACCGCCATTATGGTTTGATTTGTAGTATGAGGGGTTAAACGGCCCAAACCGGACCGCAAACACCCCTAGGTTAAAGTCAAAGGAATGTAGTAAAATTTCATCTTCTTCAGGTTTGAATCTAAACGCTGCCAAAAATAGAGTTTAAAACATGACAATCGTGTTGTAGCAGTAAAAATATTTCTAATAAAAAAAAGTTGGCATAAATCATAGCCACTAAAGGGGTGTTTTTCCACTTAATCAACTTAGCGAGCTTAACAACTACTAGTTCAATCGTCATGTAATGATTGTTTACGGCTTAATAATTAAGTTGATGGCTTAATTTTAAAGCCTTTAAGTTTAAGATTTATGTATTCAATCATCCAAGTTTCAAACCTATCCTTTTAATTAAAAGATGAAGAATCTCTCTGTCGAGCTCATAGTTGTTACCCTCGTCCGTTGTCAGTGCTCTATATGTCATTCCTTTATGCTTAGTTGCCACAAGTCCCTTCGTCATCACCCTGTTTCGTGCCACAACTTTGTTCTTTGTAAAAGAAAGCAAGCAACTCAGCTCAGTATGGCTTTTTGTTTTCTATGAGCATCTCCCATAAAACTTACAGAAAAATATTTGATATAAAGGTGTGATTATGTACATATATTCATCATTATAGGACTATTACGTATATAGTTTTGGATACATCTCGTGTTGTAGATTAAAATCTGATTCCTGAATTTAACTAATTTAATAATCGCTTCTAAATTTCAAAATAAACAAAAACAATGGCATGATTTGTATTGTAATTCTCTTGGAGGTAATTTTAGTAAAAACCACAAAAATATTGATAATTGTGAGAATCAATTTGAAACAATATATATAAAATTGGTTTTCAAGGTTCTCAATTTCATTTTACTTTTATTATTTATGTTGATTAATAATAAATGTGTTTTACCAAATAAATGTTTTCATTTTTAAAATTATCAATTATATTATTTTTGTAACTAAATGTTATTTTGTTCATTACTAGTTTTGTACCCATATTATGCAACTTATGGGTCGTTTACCAAATACTTACTTGGATAAACGCTTACCAAATTATATTATCTTACTAGATGAATATTATAAGAACCAAAAATCTTAACCGGTAAGAACGAGCCAAGGACCGAGAGTCTTACCCAGTAAGTGAAGGCAATGACTCTTACCACAGTCAACTCTTATCGGGTAAATTGTTGCATAAAAAGCCGTTTTTATTGATTAAAATCTTACCCGATAAGTAAATAATGGTATTGAATTTTTCCGATAAATACTTACCGGATAAATGTTTGATAAACGGATCCTTAAAATTTCTCGTTAGAAAGAAAATTTAAAATTTATGATTGAATAGAATAAAAATTATGATATATATAAATCATTAAATATGATGAATTGTTTTCATCTTTTTATTTAAAAGAAGTGTCTAGAAAGAAAATCTACTATATAAAAATTACTACAATCACCCACAGTAATATTTTAAGCCCTGTTGTTACACTTATTTAGGATGTGTTTTTAACAAAAAATTCTCAACAAATTATCTATACTATATCATAAAATATTTGACAAAAATTCTTAAAAATCATTTTTTATGCGTGAAATACTATTTATTGACGCATATTACTTAAAATTCAAGATTACAAGTAAACAATATGTAAATACAACTTATTAAAGTTTCATGTTTGAATTCGTGTAACTAACTGCAGATAAACATAATCAAATAGAGAATAAACATTTCATTTTAAATATAAAAAAATCTAAAATATACTTAGAATAATCATTGAGTTTTAATAAAATAGTTAATTATTATATTTATAAAAAAATTATATTATTAAATAAAAAATAAAAAAATGCATTAAAGAGAGAGAACACAAAAAACGAGATGTATTATAACATCAATTGAGACAAAAAAAATAAAACGAAACAATAAAATCAAGATTTATCTCACTGCAATGCATTGTGCAAGTACCTTTTTAGTAACTCTTAATCCATTAATGATTTATACTAAAATAGTTATATTTTTTAAATTTAAAATTCTACCCAAATAATTTATAAGATCGTTCAAATACATACCATTTGAATTTAGAAGGAAAAATACAACTTGTCTTTTTTTAATAAATAAAAATAATTTATGTGAAGTAATTGAATAAATACCCAACGGGGATCATATAACTCATGATTAGAGGAACTTTCAAATACAAATCTACTACAACTTGTTCAAATTACACCTGATTGTTTCTTAATACAAAATGTTAGTCATAATAAATTAACTATAACCATCTTTTATATGAGTTGAGTTCCAATAAAAATGAGAGTTAATGTGAGAAGCGTAATAAGGGATCTTCATCCTTGGATACACATTAGAATGAGATGCACTTGATCAATCCCCGTATCAAGTGTAATTCATGAATGGATTTAAGATTAAAGGTGATCAAATATCCAGATCCCTTATTACTTCAACTCTCTTTCTCGCACGCACATTCACCTCTTCCATAAATATTCAAATCATAATAAATAAAGTATTCATATTTTTATAAATATTTCATTTGATTGATTTCTTATTAACGTAATAAATTTACAAAAAAATATAATAATAATTAATTTTTGTAATTTTAGTAAAATACAAGGAAACAGAAGCAAACAGTGGGGGTCACATGGTATACAGAATCAGGACCTGATCTGGAGTTATATTTTCTGAGTTGGTGCCATGCCAAGTTGCCAACTACTTACAATACAATATGCCAACTTACAAACTCCATCATCAATCCAATAAGTCAAACCTCAAAGTCAAAGTCAAAGTCAAATTAATTATTTTCAATATTATTTACTTATTCTTTTAACAGTAACCAGTTTGCACGCATCTCGATTGATCTCATGAGTCACTGATATAACTAAAAAAGGGGTTCAAATAGCAACATCCTTTGTGTCAACTATTAAAAGTAAATGATATGTTTTGACCCAAAAAAGTCAAAGCACCTGGGAACCAAATAACTGAAAAACCTTGCAACTAAGTGTACAAAAACATAGACAAAAAAGAACTTGAAGCATCTCTAAGAACATCAAATGAGATTAATACAACTTCAAGAAATAACTTTAACCTGGAGCGATTGGTAAACGGTTGGAGTCGCACACGTTCGGCTAACGTCTGAGATTATTAAAACAGCGTCTCCTTCCTTCAACATCCCTTTTGCTTTTATGAGATCGGTTGTTCTGGTAATGTTAGCCTCCATGTCATCCGACAACTCAATCAGAACGGGTGTGACTCCCCATTGCAAATTGAGAGCCATTTGTGTGCTTTTCTCGTTTGTGAACGCAAATATTGGAGGGTTTGGTCGGTTGCGTGACAAAAGCGTTGCCATCTTCCCGTGCTTCGTGTACACAAAAATGGCATCCACTCCGAGGTTATTTGCTGCACATGGAAAGAGAGAGAGAGAGGTCTTAGATATTTGATGTTTCTTTTTCTTGAAACAGATTCCGAGTTAAAGTCACTTATTTAACCAAAATCAAGTTGCGCTCACAAGATTCTTTACTCGTCAACGTTGAAGGATATTTAGATTTTCAACAAGTGTGGACAGGAAGACACGAGATAGAATACCCCCTTCGTCCAAAAAATAAGTGTCCACTTTCTATTTTAGTTTGTCGCATGTGTCCACTTCCAAAAGTGTCTATTTCTCAATTTTACCCTCAATTACAAGATGGAGAAATTTAATACCCCTTTATTATTAAGGGTAATATTGTCATTTAGCCAATTAAAAAATGTCATAGTTACATATTTCTAAAACTGTGTGCCTTTTTTATTACAAGGTTTACCTTGGGATGGAGGGAGTATTTACTAGTCTTGGTTTTTATGGAAATGAATCTTCGAGTGAGTGAGATATACTGGGTTCGTTTGGTTTATACAAAAAAAACTTCATTAAACTACTTTCAAACTTTCTATAGGGACAGAAAGAGTGGGGAAATGTAGAATTAGTATTACCCATTCGGCCAGCGCAGTTACAGATCTGCTCAGCAATCTGATCAGGCAACGAGACTCCAAGTTTACGTTCAGGAAGAGATGGCCGCTGATTCTCCTCACGACTCCATAGTTCCATTCGACTGCTAGCCATACACAGCACAGAAAGAGCCTTCTCTCCAAAAGATCCAATTGCCGACTCACCAGAAAGCATCAGGGCATCAGCATACTGTCGAACTGCCTCAGAAACATCTGCAACCTTTCTCACATAAAAACAATCCGCCATTATTTATTTTAACTTTTATTTCTCCATTTTGGAGAATTATAGAGAAATTACCTCAGCTCGTGTAGGTGTCGGATACTCGATCATGGATTCTAATAGTTGTGAGGCCACAATCACTGGCTTATTGAGCTGCCTACAGAGGTCAATAATTTCCTCTTGGACAGTCGGAATCTGCTCAAGTGGTATCTCGACTCCAAGATCACCTCTTGCCACCATTATTCCATCTGAGGCCTCCACGATCTCTTCCAGTTTGTGGAGAGATTCTAAACTCTCTATCTTAGCCAAAACCTTAATCAATCTGAGAATACAAGCATTCATATTTTGATCCATTAACAATAACACAATCATATCAAAGAGGTCTATTCATTTGGTCCTTTTGTTCCCACTTTCATGGAAACAACTGCTCTACTCTTTGGGGTACAAGTCAAATCTCCGTACATCTTAACCCCAAACCCCTACTGTTTGGGGTAAATGTAAGGTTTGTGTACATCTTCCCCCCACCCGAGACCCCTATTGCTGGGGTAGAGGTATTGTCTTTGTACATCTTACGCCCCCAGACCCCACCTCCGGGTGGGACATACTGGGTTCGTTTGGTTGCATAAGTTTTTGAATGCGCACTTACTTATTTTTGGTGGATAAGTAATTCTTTAAATGTTTGACTGCATCGGCGTCTTTAACGAATGACATGGCAATAAAATCAACGCCTTCAGAAATTCCAAACTCGATGTCAGACCAATCCTGTTAATCATACATCATGAATAAAATTAATCCCGAATCGACTTCAAAACATGCTATAATATATATTCATGGTATCATTGCGCAAAATAATACTTCCTCCATTCCAAATATACCAAAAGATATGTTTTGTATCCATGTGCATATATATATATAACACAGATTAATCAATAAAGTAATATATGTATATACATTAATATTATATAAATATATATAATCAAATGAGAACCTGAAAATACTGTGATAACCGTGAAAACTGGTGCATCATGCATTATTACACATAAAAAATTTCAACCAAATTTTAAAGTACTAATTAACATGTTTGTTTCACAATGTGCTTGTTTGACATGTACTGGTTTCACAATATGAAACTCTTTTACATGTTTGTGTTCACTTATATACATGTAAAAAGGTTTCACATTGTAAAACAAGTACATGCAAAACAAACACATTGTGAAACAAATATGAAACAATACCTTAAAGTACAGGTTGCGACAGTTATCACAATATTTGAGGTTCTCATTTGATTATGCCCATACATGCATATATATATATATATATATATATATATATATATATGAAAATATTGATGATCTTAGTGTAAAACCCAAAAATTGCCATATCATAGATATTTGTTTGTTTAGCTCTTAATAGTTCCATTAAAAGGCAACCTCTGAATCGTTAAGAGGTGAATCTTGTTTAGCGAAAAAAAAATCTTTCTCCTAATGGTTCTAAAACCCTCTGAACGATTTTGTATCCTAGATCTCCCTTTAACCATTAAGAGCCCTAATTTCATTGTACACAATTATCAAACAATTATATTTCATTTTGCACTATATCATGAGATCCTCTTAATCATTCTGCATCAAACCCTTCAGCAATTGCCAAACAACCCCATACTCCCAATATTGGAACAAGATCTAATGATCACCTTTGTCGATAATGTTGGGAGCTCATTATGTTTATCGACAAGTTTTCCATCTCTCCAAAAGCTCAATTTAGCTCGGGGTAAAAGTAGGCCAGGATCAATACACTTGCAACGTAAGTCATTACCAATCCTTTCAATAACTTCAAAAGTCGCCATTCCTCCATCGACAACAAGCTCATCACCCTCTTTAATTCCTGATACAAAATGCATCTAAGATCAACAAGAAAATCTATGGTCATCCACAATTAATTATACCTCACAAGTATTTGCGGTATATTAACTAAAGAATAACATGTGAGCCATACAACCTTCAGCAAAACCTTCATAGCTTGCTTGGACTGTGAATGGGCGACAACCCTCGAATCGTTCAGTAGTGAAGAACCATATCGATCCATCCTAACGAATTCAGATTGCAACAAAATACCATCAAATTTTGAAACTTCATACTGTTTCCATTTACATATCAATAACAGACTTTAGAAAGAAATTAGACAGAAAATTAAACATACTTCTGCTTTGACAGAATACGGAGCTCCATGATCAGCAACATGAATTTGACTACCTTCAGTATCGATCATTACAGAAACACAAAACCCTAATTCATGGTTCAACTTCTTGATCTTTCTAATTACATCTTGATGCCAATCTCTAGTATTATGACACATATTAAGCCGAGCCACATTCATTCCTCCCAATGCCAATTTCTCCAATTCCTCATAAGAACAGCACGACGGCCCCACCGTGCACACGAGCTTCGTCTTCCTCATCCCCATAAACCCCTTTTCCCTCACTTCAGTCTCTGTTACAACATTAAGACCCAAATGGTCCTCCATTTTCGATTCCTCCACAATTGTAGGCGTAGCGACCTGCATCACAGCCCTGGTACGAAAACTTTCAAATTTCCTCCCGTTAAACCCAATTGTTCGAGGCAAAACCGAAACCCCAAATACCCTTTTCCCCAAATTGATAGCCGAAGCATTCGCCATTGCATAATTGGACAGGAGAGCTGAATCGGCAGTCATTGAAGCCATTTGCTGAATTGGGTAACCAAGTCAGATTAACAATTGGGTTTTAAGAGATTGATTTGATGACAAAACTGATATGGTTGTTTACTCCGCAGGGATTTGTATTTACGAAAAGAAAGATTTAGGGTTTTACAAAGTGCAGGAATATGCCATGTGGTTGTAGCAGAAGAAACAAAAGAAACTCAATTAGGGCAGGTTTTTGCAATTTACAGAAAGGAAAGTTTCTGTGTTGGGCTGGCTACCCCCAGTCCCCAGGTCGGAAAGGAAAGGGACCAGTTGAAAAATGGCGGAATTTGGGGCTCATAGGCAGGAAGTGGGGACCTTTTCCAAACCCTAATTCATTGCTACTACTGTACTGATTATGTAATTAAGTTTTTACATATCATAATAAAAATTGTATTATACTATATTACAAAGTATTTGA